CCCCCAAACCCGGGGACTTACGTGGGTGTGTTCTTAAAGTACACCAAGGTACTAACGCTCAGGATCTTGACTCATACCCCAAATAAAATGGTCAGAGGACCTCTGAACAAATCCTGTAAAACCTTCCTAATCCTGCAATCCTGTACGGATCCCAATCAAGGGCTTCGTGTTTAACCTTGAATATAATGTAGTTGTTAGGGGCCATACAGTCCGTTATAACTCATAATGAATCTTTGTGAAGGAAACACGGCCCGCTCCTGTGCCACCCTCACAATGTTGCTATATTTAACCCAGTGTTGCAGTCCTCTCGTTGAGCATCTTTCTCTTTGTCACATGTTAGCCTTCTCTAGAAACACGCTATCTCCTTTTAACATGACCAAAGTAAGTGAGACAACGTTTCATAAAACTCACTTCAAAGGAACATTCTGGCTGTACTTCTTTCAAGAAACATTTGCTTATTCTTCTGGTCATCTATGGTATATTCAATATATCATGAGGGAGAGAGAGAGAGCCATTATCATATCAAAAGCCAGAATAATTTCTACCAGGAGATTATCAAGAGCATTTTAAAACATTCTGAATCTCACAGTAGTCACATTGACCAGCATACATTTTTAAGTGTTTTTTTCCTTGGTGTACATGAATTACTGTTCTTAATGCAATGCTGTGTCAAACAGGGCTCAGTATAGCACTGATGAAACACACGATATTCCTCTGGTTCCTTGAGGCTTCCTCACCCCCCACTATCATGACCCCAGTCCTGCCTTCTACTTCAGGCTAGACAAGAACACTAGTGCAGATAAGAGCTCATGGCACACAAAATGCAGGTCATGTAAACCCCTTAAGAACAGAAATGGGAGTAGTGATACGAGGAAGTAGGGGTAAGGAGTGGGGGAGAGGAGGGGAGGAAGGAGAAACTGATTGCCATGATCAATACATAACCCCCACCCCGCTGAGGGGGATGAACAATAGAAACCAAGGGGGAAGGGAGACAGTGGTCAGTGTAAGATATGAAAATAATAATTTATAATTTATCAAGGGATCACAAGAATGGGAGGGGGAGGAGCTGATACCAATGGCTCAAATAGAAAGTAAATGTTTAGAAAATAATGATGGCAACGTATGTACAAATATGCTTGATAAAATTGATGTATGGATTGCTAGAAGAGCCCCCAATAAAATGATCTTTAAAAAGGAAGAAAACCTAAAATATTAAAATAGAAAGAAAAAACAAAAGCAATGCCATGTGGATGGCATTTCTCTCAGAGGCACTGTGGCACCACTAACTCCCAGAGGCACCACAGTTGTGCACAGTCTTTATTTGAAACCTAGATAAATTTTCAAATTGTTACTTCTCCTTAAAAATTATAACCAAGTATTCAAAATCATACTCTGATATTTTGGAAGCATCAAGATCACTTTTAACAACAGCTGGGGAAGACCTGAAGTGTACTTAAACATCATAAAGTCTGAAGTTTTTAGCCAGGGAACTCTCTTCACAGTGATCTAGGTGCAGGAAACAGGAAACGATATTGCCAGAATATCTCTCCTTCAAATTTTAAATGTTTGCCATTTTCCCTTCAAATGATTCAGCATGAACTGATAACCTCAAAAATACTACAAACATTCATATTTGTAATTGGCCGAATTGGACTTAATTTAGCTTCTGATTTTGCCTCCTGTCATTCTCTTGTTGAATACAGAAAAATAAAGGCATTGGTAATCTCATGTACTAGTACGATAATGTGATTTGGAATCATAACAGAAATTAAGGTTTTTAAACAAACAATTAATTTTACTGAAGCACATTGCCACCTGTTACCCAGGCCATCTTAGTGTCCAAAGCATTTCCACATACGGAGACTAGCGTTTTAGGTGGTTTCTTAACGTTCAGAATTAAATTCATCCTTTATATCTGGACACTATAAGACCCTGCTGCTGTTGTACGCCATCAAGTGGATTCCAAATGTCCATTAAAAAATCTCTATAAAAATGGACCTTAATCAATAAGGTCAATGTGAATCATGGCGTTATAACTCAAAAAATACATTCAGTTCTTTTAGGGTGGAGCGAATGCACTCCCGAGGCCTGTGCATTGCACTGCAAACCATGGTTCAAAGCTACCAACCTCTCCTAGAGGGAAAAAGAGAAGGCAAAACTCTGAATATTCACATTAAGATTTTCAGCCTGGAAAACCAACTGTGCAGCTTTACTTTCTCCTAGATCAGTGGTTCTCAACCTTCCTCATGCCGCGCGACCCTTTAATATAGTTCCTCATGTTGTGGTGATCCCCAACCATAAAATTATTTTCCTTGCTACTTTATAACTGTAACTTTGCTACTGTAATGAATCATAATGTAAGTATCTGATATGCAGGATAGATTTTCGTTGTTACAAATTGAACATAATTAAAGCATAGGGATGAATCACAAAAACAATGTGTAATTATATAGTGTGAAATATTTATTTCTAATGACAAATAAATGAAATTTTGTCTTGAAGCATGGTGTACCATGGGTAACAGTCTTCATGCCGGGTACTCATATGTGGGCATATCTGCATGTGGGCGAACCCTCCTGGAAATGGATAGAGAAGCAGTGTCTCGGTTCCTAAGACCATGGGAAATATGTGTTTTCTTAGGCGACCCCTGTGAAAGGTTCGTTCAACCCCCAAAGGGGTCGTGACCCACGGGTTGAGAGCCACTGTCCTATAGACTTGCTATGAGTAGATCCCAAGTACATGGTGCTGAGTGAGTGAGAGCAGGGCTTGAGAGTCTCTTTTTTCCATAAGCCCCAAGCGATCATAATCTGCTGTTGCTCGGCCCATGCTCAGAGCTGCGAGTGTGCCCTGATGAGATTGTGGTTAGTAATTGGGCTGCGATTCTTAAAATTTGCAGTTCAAGGTCACCAGCTGCTGCTCCCCAGGAAAACACAGGGCTTTCTACTCCCATAAATAGTTACAGACTCGGAAACTCACAGGGGCCGTTCTACTCTGTCCTACAGGGTCACTGTGAGTCAGTATCAACTCAATGGCAGTCAATTTGGTTTTGTTCTGTTTTTGTTTTGTTTTGTTTTTTCAATTTTATTGGGGGCTCTTACAGCTTTTATCACAATCCATACATATGTCCATTATGTCAAACACATCTGTACATTTGTTATCATCATCTTTTTCAAAACATTTTCTTTTTACTTGAGCCCCTGACATCAGCTCCTCATTTTTCCTACTCCCGCCCCCATGTTCCCTTGATACTTAATTTTTTCCTGTCTCACACCAACTGCTGTCTCATTTCACCCACTTTTCTGCTGTCCTTACGTCGATCATTGTGATCGGTTCCCCCTTTCCCCCCTCCCTTGCCCTCCTATTATTGCTGCTCCCCTTATTGGTCTTGAGGGGTTTATCTGCTATGGATCCCCTGTGTTGTGAGCTCTTATCTGTACCAGTATACATGTTCTGGTCTAGCCAGATTTGTAAGATAGAACTGGGGTCATGATAGAAGGAGGGTGGGAGGGAGAAGAAGCATTAAAGAACTAGAGGAAGGTTGTGTGTTTTGTTGGTGCTATACTGCACCCTGACTGGCTCCTCTCTTCCTTGCGGCCCTTCTGACAGGGGGTGTCCAATTGACTACTCATGGGCTTTGGGTCTCCACTCTGCCCTCCCCCTAATTCCTATGGATATGCTTTTTATTTGTTTGTTTTGTTGTGGGTCTTTGATGCCTGATACCTGATCCCATCAACACCTCATTTTCAGAATAATTTCATGTAGAACTAAGTACATGGTGTGGACAAGATGTAGTCAACCAAAAGCTTAATTATTTTAGACCTATGTCTGAAAGCATGATAAGATTTGGCTATAATTAGAACCATAAGGTTGATAAAACTATGCTGGAGGGATGCCTCATCTTAAGTCATCAATGAAGCTTACCTGAGGCAACACTGAGAAGAAAAAACTAGAACAACAAATATTGCCCCTTTACCCCCATATCTTCACTTTCCTACTTTTATTCTCCATTCACCAAATCCAAAGGAAAGCCAGTAAGCAAGTAAGCTAGTTGGTACAGTCCCATAGGCCAGTATTCCGGAGCACACAGGAGGGTGAGCAGAGAGAAATTGTGGATTTCGGGTGCTATTCGAAGATACATCTCTATTGCAATTTACTTGCGACTCTTACGGAAGCTACATTCACTTGAGTTCTTGTGTAATCCTTTGTTGTTCTGTGGTTTTATTCTCCCTCCTAAGCAAATTATCCAATACTCCCTCTCCACGAATGTTTAAACCTCAACCTGAATGTTATACCTGTGAAAACGAAAACTTCTCGCCCTCATAAAAGTTACTTGGATTTACAAAAAAAAATCTCCAAACTCATTGTCATCTAGTCAATTCCAACCCTAAAGGACTAGGTAGAACTGCCTCTGTGGGTTTCTGTGACTGCATCCCTTTACAGGGATAGAAAGCCTCATCTTTTTCCCCCTACTCTCCAGAGGACAGTCAGACTGCTCCATAGCTCTTCCATGGCTGTAATCCTAACCACAGCCTATCACCAGGTCTTTCCTCCTCCGGAATGGCTGATGGGTTTGAATAACGGACATTTTCATTACCAGCCAAACGGTACTTAGCACAGCACCACCAGGGCTCCTCCGAGATGCCTCTACAACTTCTAGACTCGTAAAAAATATATGCCAATATAATTACTAAATCCATACCCATTCATAAACAAGATCCTTACCCCTAAATAGAGCAAGATTCCATAGAACATAAATCTCCCGAAAAAACATCGTCGAAGGGCATTAATGAGTGTGGGATTTTTCTTTGAAGCCAGCTCTCTGTCCCATTCTCTGCAAAAGAATAAAAAATGAGACCATAAGTTGCTTGTGCAAATATATGAGTTGTTCTGTTTCCCTTAACATAGCGTGATTCACTCAGGTATATGCAAGGAAAGGAACGCAGGTGACTGAAGAGCCAGAAGCTCTGGAGACCTGGCACTACCAATGACTGAGTCGCATATTTGGCAGAATGGCGTGCCCAGCCATGGAATGGGGTACCCCCTCAAAATGGAATTATATTTTTATTTATCCCTCCCCCAAATCTACGTATATAATTTTTTTTTTTTATAAAACAACCTTGTCACCTTCAAAGTACTCTCCATGACACTTCATAGATTTGTCAAATCTGCAATTCTATTATTGGAAACATTTTTCAAACCCATCTGTTTGGATAGTTGACAGCACCTCCCTCATTTTTTTCTTCACCTCTTCTCTGTCATCAAACCGCTTTCCTTTCATGTCCCTCTTCATTCTCAGAAACAAAAAGAAGTTGCACAGAGCCAGGTCATGTGAGTCAGGTACGTGAAGCAAGGGAGGCATGCTGGCTTGTTTTTGTTTGTTTGTTTGGTTGTTTGTTTGTTTTGCTTTGTTTTTCCCCAAAAACTGGCACACTGAAATGGTTGCATGAGCAGGTGCATTGTTGTGGTGGCAAAACCAGTCCCCTGTCTGACACAAACCAGGCCTTTTCTGTCACACACTATAACACAATCTTTTCAGAACCTCTAAAGAGAAAGCTTAATTAGCAGTCTGACCTGGTAGAAGGAACTCCAAATGCACTATCCGCCTCACATCAAAAAAACAAATGAGCATCATCTTGATATTTGATTTCACTTGACAAGCTTTTTAGGGGCAAGGAAATGATAGTTTCTTCCACTGGCTTGATGTTTGTTTTGGGGGTTGTAAAAATAGTACCATGTCTTGTCACCAGCAATGATCTTGGAAAAGAGTCTGGGTGACTTCAAAGTTGTTCTTTCAAAGCAGGTCATGTTTCCAGTTGATGCTCTTTCTCCTGGTGAGTCAGAGCCCGAGGCACAAATTTCTCAGTGACCCTTCTCATTCCCAAATCTTCCATTACAACTCACTGAATTGAGCTCCAAGATAGTCCAGAGACCTTCCCTAGCTCTTCATGGTCCTTTTCCATCATTGGTCTTTGAGCCCAGGTGTTTGAATTTTGTCAACATTTTCATCCATTTGGGAAGTTGACAGACATCCAGAACAAGGTTTGTCATCCAACATTTCAACTTTTTGAAATAAGACAAACATTCATATACTTGAGTTTTTCCCGTAGTGCTGTCCTTGTAAGCTGTGTTCAACATCGCAGGAGTTTCTGGGGCATTTTTCCCTGAGCAGGAAACAAAATTTCACAGCTGCACGCTATGCTCTGAAATTGGCCATCAAAAAAACTAGGTTCGAGCGAAACTGCTTTCACGAAAACAATTCACTGTGACCACAGAGAACCTTCCCAGGCAATGCCAAAGGATGTACTAACTCAGAGCAACTTGCGTGATGCTTGCCTAGCCGGGAAAATGTGTACGACAACCATGAAAACGCTGCCAAGCAGAGCTTTTTTCTGAGTGTTTTTTTTTTGTGCCCCCTCATATATTATTCTGTGGAGGGCTGGTTTCATGGAAAAGCGACACTGTATGTTTTTTAAATGCCAGGCTTCTTAAGAGCAATGAAAAGAGTTACCAAATAACCTGTGGTTCTGACAAATACACATTGCTATATTTGGAACAAAGAAGGAAAATGAACTCAAACTTCACCTCTTGTCTGTCAGGTTGTCATACAGTGGTGGCTTGTATGTTGCTGTGATGCTCGAATTTATGTTGCTGGTATTTCCCATACCAGCAAGGTCACCCAAGCTGAACAGATTTCAACAGAGCTTCCAGACGAAGCACAGGTTTCAAAGGAGGATTAGTGAGTTATAGTCAGTTAACAGAGCCCTTCTGGCCATACTTCCTTCCATGGTGTCTTATAATTCTTTTAGAGGCCGTTCTCTCCCAAATGTAAAGTTAAGGCGGGGTTAAATCTTGACCTAAGTAGAGGATGTGAGTCAAGTCACACCCCCTGTTTCCTTGTGGGTATCTTTAGAACTACTTTACTAGAGGATGGCACATCAGACACTGTGCTTTGGGGTTTTTTCTTGGATTTAGTCAGCAAAAAGACAACAACTACACTTCCATCAAAGCCTCCTCAGGGTATGAGACATACGGGACACAAGGAGAAATCTCACGACCCTTTGGAAGAGCATATCTAAGACCCCGGTCTAAACAGGCAAAGACCACTGAGACAGATGCGCCAGAAACTGTGGCAGAGAGACTCCTAGGGGCAGGACCAAGACGACAGAGAACCTTTTCCCCATCTAGCCTCAAGCTATGGAGCTGTGGGGCAGAGCGGCAGGGCGACTGGCTTCCAGGCCCACTGATGCAGCAGCCAAGGAAGCGCATGGCTGGGAGGCTGAGGACCAAGGAGAGTCTTGGCTTCTGGCTGAGGTGAGGTGCTGTTGTGGACCAGTGGCTGTATCCTTATCGTTTACTGATCCTGACTTGTAGTAACCTATTGACTTTCATGGATATCCCCTGGGAGTTCTATGTGGCTCTTGCGACAAAACAATTGAAAAACATTGAAGTAGCATGCCATGAGAGGAATGCTTGGTGTCAAAATAGGGTAAAACGTGATGGAGGACAAAGCATGTTTGACCCGCCTTATGGCAATAGAGAAGATCAGATGCGTCCACATCCATGCAATTTACCACTTCTGAGGAATTAGTGACTTGAAAACTTTATGAGTGGGAGTGGAGCATTGTCAGACACTAAACACCTTGGGAACAGCAAGCTAACGTTGTCCGACCTAGGGCCAGAAGGTGAGGGAGGCATTCAGGTCAGAAGGCACTCAAAACAAGATTGCACTCTCAACGTCAAGAGACCAACTCACAGTGCCCTCAAGTCCATTGTGAGCATAGTGACCCCACAAGACAGGGTAGAACTGCGCCTGTGGGTTTCCAAGACTGTCACTCTTTGTGGGACTTGAAAGCCTCGTCTTTCTCCCAACTCTCAAAGTAGAGTCAACCATAATGACTTGGCTGGAGTACAGCTTTCTGGAAATGCACCCACTAAAGGAACAGGACTCAAATTGAGAAGAGAGAGCTGAAAACATTTATTAGTAATTGGCACTTGGGATGTATGAAGTATAAGTTAAGAAAACTTGGAAGTTATCAAAAAGTGAGATGGATCACCTTAAGATCAAGGTCCTAAGCATTAGTGAGAAGAAATGGGCAATCATATGGTTTACTATGCCAGTAATGATGGATTCAAGAGGAATTGTGGTGCATGTCTTGTCCAAAAGGACATTTCAAAATCTATCTTGAAGTACAAGGCTGTCTGTGATAGGATAACATCTACACACACACACACACACACACACACACACACAAACAAGCAAAGTAAATGCAACTATTATTCAAATCAGCATACCAACTAAGGCTAGTGAAGAAGAAATAAAGCATTCTACTAACTTCTCCAGTCTGAAATTGATCAAATATGCAATCAAGATGTGTTGATAATTATTGGTGATTAGAATGCAAAATTAAAAATCACAGAAGAAAGAGTATCTGGAAAATATGGACCTTATGATAGACAGACAGGAAGCTGGAGCGCGCATGCTAAAATTTTGCAAGACCAATGACTTCCTCACAAATACCCTTTTCAACAACACAAAAGGCAAGTATACATGTAAACTTCTCCATATAGAATGTGTGATGAGAAGCTCAATATCAGCAGCCAAGGCCAGGAGCTGATTATGGAAGAGACCATTAATTGCTCGCATATAAGTTCAGATTGACATTGAAGAAACTTTCAAAAGGTCCAAAAGAGGCAAAATACAACCTTAAATATATCCCACCTGAATTTTAAGAATATCTCAAGAATAAATTTGATGCCTTGAACATAATAACAGAAGACCCAATGAGTTGTGATAGGACATCAAAAACAGCACCCACGAAGAAAGCAAAAGTCATTAAAAGGACAGAAAAAAAAGAAAAGATTTCAGTGGATGTCAGAAGACTCGGACACTTGCTCTTAATCATAGAGTAGGTAAGGCAAATGGAAGTAATAATGAAGTCAAAAAGCTGAACAGAAAATTTCAAAAGGCAGCTCAAGAAGACAAAGTAAAATATTATAATGAGATGTGCCATGATCTACAGTTAGAAAACCAAAATAGAAGAATACTCAGCATGTTTTAAACTGAAGAAAAAAGGAGAAAGAAAAATTCAAGCTTCCAGTTGCAATATTGAAACATTCTATAGAAAAAATATTGAATAACGCAGAAAGCATCAAAAGAAGATGAAACAATACACAAAGTCACTGTACCAAAAAGAACTAGTCGATACTCAATCGGTTCATGAGATAGCACATGAGCACAAATCAATAGTGCTAAAGGAAGAAGTTCAAGATGCACGGAAGGAATTAGTTACAAATAAGCAAATAAGGGTCCAGGAATTGGTGGAATACCAACTGAATGATGAAGCACTGGAACACTCACTAGTCTATGACCAGAAATTTGGAAGTCAGTTACCTGGCAAACTGACTGGAAGAGACACGTGTTCCTGCCCATTCTAAAGAATATGCAAATTATCAAACAATATCATTAATGCCATGTGAAGCAAAGGTTGTAGCAGTATATCAATAGGAAACTGCGAGAAATTCAAATTTGGAAGAAGTCGATGCATGAGGGATATTGTTGCTGATGTCAGTTGCACCTTGGGTTAAATCAGAGAATACCAGAAAAAAATGTTTACTTGTATTGTATTGACTATGCAATGTTCAAAAATACTATATATGTGGATTATGACAAGCTATAGACAGCACTGAGTAGAATGGGAATTCAAGAACACTTCACTGTGCTCTTGTGGAATCTGAACAGCGATCAAAGGACAGTCATTCAAGCATAATAAGAGATATTGAATGGTCAAAAATCAGAAAAGATGCGGGTTAAAGTAGCATCCTCTCACTATCTATTTAATCTGTATATCGAGCAAATAATCCGAGTAGCTGGACTATGTGAAGAACGCTTCCTCTATCAGGATTGGCAGAAAGCTTATTAACAACTTATGATATGCTGGGGACACAATTTTGCTGGGGGAAAGTGAGAAGGACTTGAAGTACTTGCGGATGAAGGTCAAGGACTACAGCCTGCAATATGGATGACAACTCAATGTAAAGAAAACCAAAATCCTCACAACTGGACCAGTAGGTAATATCACGATAAATGGGGAAAATACTGAAACTGCATCCACAATCAATGCTAATGGAAACAGCAGGTAGGAGATCAAACTATGCATTTCATTGGGTAAATCTGCTGCACAAGACCTCTTTAAAGGATTGTCAAGCAAGTCCCCACTTTGATGGCTAGGTTACACCTGCCCCAAGCCAGAGTATTTTTAATTGTCCCCTATGCGTGTGAAAGTTGGACACTGAATAAGGAAGTTCGAAGAATTATGATGATGGCAAAAAATATTGCAAGGACCATGGATTGCCAGAACAATAAACAAATCTATTCAGAAGTAAAGCCAGAATTCCCCTTAGCAGTAAGGATGGCAAGACTTCGTCTCACGTACTTTGGACATGCTATCGGGAGAGACCGGTCCCTGGAAAGGACAACATGCTTGGTAAAGTAGAGGGTCCGTGAAAAAGAGGCCGTTCCTGAAATCTAGTAAACTCTGTGCTTCCCTATAAAACCTACAGGCTCATCAGTTGATACGACTCCTTTCTCTTTCTAAAGGGATAAAATTCCCCTAATGTTACCACCATTTCAATTTGTAAAGGTGCAGAGATAGAAATTTCATAAACTACCAGTGAGGACTATGAAATTGGATAAAAGCTTTCATTTCATCCAGGGCTTTCATTCCTATTACTATCAATCTCTCATGAGTCACCAAGGTTCTAAGTTATTCTAAAGGAGGAATACACAACTGAAATTCAAAGGCAAGCTTGGCAGTCTCAGCACAATGACCTTAGCTTGCCCCGGAAGCAAAAGACTTGGCTGCTAACCAAAGGTTGGAGGTTTGAGTCTACCGTAAGTACATCAGAACAAAAATACCTGCCGACCCCCTTCTAAAATAGTGGCCATTGCAAACCTCTGGAGCCCAGCTCTGTTCTGACACACCTTCTCACTCACTGCCATCGAGGGAATGTGGACTCAGCGTGACCCTGTAAGACAGGGTAGAACTGCCCCTGTGTGAGTTTCCAAGACTGGAACTTTTTATGGGTGTAGAAAGCCTCACCCTTCTCCCGAGGAGCAGCTGGTGGTTTTGAACTATTGACCTTATGGTTAGCAGCCAAATGGATACTCACAACGTCACCAGGTAAGGTGGAATCGATTATAATGCCTAATTATCTATCCCAACTCTCTACCTATCCTCTACCTTGACCACTAACCCCACCCCCCATGGTCATAAGCTTGCCTCTGATCCATGCCATTCTGCTGACTTACCGTAGAGTAAAAAGTAAGTATGGAGCCTGACAGTAACTGCTATTTTTAAAGAAGATTGAGCATATGGGTAAACCAGGAATGGGAGATGATACATAAGCCAAAAATGTTATTTCACCATGGGGAGAAAGTGGTCAACATGGAAGCCAAGTAAGAAGATGTCATTTTATTTGGTAATTTTTTAAAAGTCTGTGAAAACTCTGACCAATGTAGTTTTAAGAACATGTAAGATCTCAGGACCAGATAAATAAATGAAAGGTGAACAAGCAGAGACACCAGCAGAAAAATGTTGGCTATGAATTTTAAAAATGAAAGAATGAGTCAGCGGCCTGAGGGGAGGCAAGACTAGTTTTGTTTTGTTTTGTTTTACCTTTGGGACTCAAACAATATGTAGCCTGAAGGAAGGCGTGAGCAGCAAGAGTGGGTGTTGTATTCCCGGGGCAGTGTATCAGGGGCAGTGGGCGTTCCAAACGCCAAAGCTGATGCAAAAGGCAAGAAACTGTATATTATGACATTGTTGTCTACGCTATAACTATGAAGTGGCATGTGATCTGCACAATAGTGTATGTAGAGGAATCAGCCCTACTGCTCCAAACTGCACTGGATGCGCCGACATACTTCAGCCTGGGGACCTTTGGGACCCGGTGGTTACAAAATTTGAAGCCAGGGGGCATTTCCCAAGGTTAGAGCCATGGCTCTATAATTCATTATTGTTTTTGTCATCGGATGCCGTCTAGTGGGGACACTATGTCCAACAGAAGGAAACACTGCCCACTCTTGCACCAGACTAATACTCGTTCCTATGTTTGAACTCAATGTTGAAGCCACTGTGTCCATCCATTAACTGGAAAATTATGTCATTTCTCTAAGCTTCAATTTCCTCTTTTGTGAGACACAGATAATGGTGCTTTCCTCCCTGAATGGTTGGGAGGAGATAATGCCTATTAAAGAGGCATCACAATCAATTCTAACTTAGGGTGACCTGGTGGTGTAGTGATTATGCATTGTACATTTTAAGAGATTTTCAAAATAATGAGATTTTTACTTGTCACTGGTGTCCAGCAGTCACTACCAAAAGATTTCTCAAAAAGTACATTTATATTCATGTTAGTATTTCAGAAGCAAAAAGAAAAGATGTTCTTGTTTTTAAATATACCATACTAAGAAGTAAGTCTTCTGATGTTAGTTTTGTATTCTCTACATGGTTCAGAATTAAATTTCTCTGTGCAGTGAATCAACAATAGGCCTGGACATACCTTTCCAGTTTTTCAGAGAGATTGTCAGCAGAATCCACAGATGGAATTTGGTATATGTCTGATAGTTCCAGGCGCTGCCTGTACCCTTTGCGCAAAATTGGTCTGGTCCAGCTGAAATAAAGAGAAGAAAGATAAAAATAAATATTCACTTGACTTGGTTCCCAATATAGGTTTGGAATCTAAATACCATTTCCAATCTTTCTACCTTCTGGGAAGTGATGGATCCATAAACAGGAGAATAAAGTAAGTCACCTACATCAAGACTGGCTCAATATCTCACAGGACACGCCTGCACAAAACAGCAACAACTCTAAATAAATGTGACTCCAACCTTGTCAAAAGGATCAAGAATGAGCATGCCATCCTTCCCAGGGGGAATGAAAAATAAGTTTAAGAGTATATTAGTTATAAATCTCAAAACCAAACTCATTGCCATCAAGTTGATCCGACTCACAGCAACCCTATTGGACAGAGTAGAACTACCCCCCACATATTTCAGAGACCCTAACACTTTACAGGAGCAGACAGCCTTTAAGTATAAAGTGGTGGTTGTGAACTACTGACCCTGCAGTTAGCAGCCCAATGTGTAACCACAACAGCACCAGGGCTATGGATTAAAAAAAGAGAGAAACTACCCAAAGGTAACCAGATACTATGAGCTCATGGCACATTGCTGACGCCCAGCTTTATTATTTCAACATTATCTGTGAAGACAGATACTTATCAAGCCCTCACATAATTCCATTAAGTACTTACTGTACGTAGCAAAAGTATCCAACAATAAGCTGCACACTGACTGCGGAGTGTGATGGCTAATTTGCAGTGTTGATTCATCACTGTGCCAGAATCAGTTACTTGAGGCTGAGGGGCCACCATTGTTTTAGATTTTGTCTCCTCACCCAGCAGCAGACCCTCCTGCCTTCTCACCCACTGCCATCAAGTCAATGCTGACCATAGCGACCCTTGGTGGGTTTCTGAGAGGGTAACTGTTACAGACGTAGAAAGCCCAGTCTTTCTCCCGTGGAGCTGTTGCTGGTTTTGAACTGCTGATCAAGAGGACTGCAGCCCAACATATAACCACTACCCCACCAGGGCTTCATTTAGGCTTCAAAAGAGTAACGCTTTGTGGAACTACTGAAAATGGAACGGAAAATAATTAAGCAAACTATTCTGATTATTTTCAAATACATAAAACCATGACCGATAAATACAATAATCGTCGTGGATGTAAGAGAATCTAAAGAGCAAGAAGCAGAGAACGAACTTATGCATGGAAAGAAATATCTGCATTAAATCTAAGACAATAAGAGTCTTCTCAGGTAGAAGTTCAGGTACTTAGTTGAAAAGGAAATGAATCTGGACTTGGTGGTTACAAAACTTAAGCTTTTTCCCCGCAGCAGCTTTTTTGCTGAGACAATTTTAAAGCTGGGTGTCATCAAGATACGTGTATCAAAATGCACCTTAAACCACCAAATATCAAAAGGGAGTAATTTCATGGTGTCTGAGAGTCAGGATAAACTCATAATATGAAAAATACTCTAGCAAACCATTCAGGAAAGAAAGGTGAGACGCTATGCCAAATATACATATTTTGACAATATACATATTTTGACATTATTTCAGGAGAAGGCTGTATAGGGTCCTGGATTATATTCGCTGTTCCTCGATCCCCCAGCTTCTCCAGACTTTCAAACTCATGGTATCTCTGTAGGACAAAGATGACGATAGCTGTTCCCCTAAAGCAGTGGTTCTCAACCTTCCTAATGCCAAGACCCTTTAATACAGGTCCTCATGTTGTGGTGACCCCGATATGTGGGCGTATCTGCATGTGGGCGGACCCGCCAGGAGACAGATAGAGGAGTGGTGTCTCAGTTCCTAAGACCATCGGAAATATGGTTTAGGCGACCCTGTGAAAGGGTCATTCGACCTCCAAAGGGATTGCGACCCACAAGTGGAGAACCGCTGCCCTAAGGGTTTGCAATTCCTTTGTTTCCAGCTTCTCCAGATGGCTCCTGGCATGTGCTCCACAAATTATCCCTCACTAGAGAAATTTCAGTGGCACAGTGGGTGAAGCCTTGGTCTGAAAGGTCAATAGTTCAAGCCCACCAACTGCTGGGTACAAGAAAGCTGAGACTATCCAATCCCAAAAAGATTTGCAGTCGCAGAATCCCCGGGGAGCATTTCCACTCTGTCCTATGGGGTTTCTATGAGTTGGAATCTACTCAGTGGCAGTGGTTTCGGTTTGGGGGGAGTTGGTAATTGGTCACATTTTTCTATGATATTTGTACTTTCTTTGTATTTTAACGAAGCCCTTCAACCGTGGCAAAAGGGCGAATATTAGGGTTCACCTTCATTGCCAAGTCTGGACTATAGAAAAATTTCTCTGGAGAACAATAATGAAGAGAAGTGAGGCCAGTGTGGCCCCGTAGAAAAGTGGTATGACTGGGCACTGTCTACAGTGGGCATCACCTGGGATGATCCCCTAACGCTCCCCCTCCCTAACGCTCCCCCTAACGCTCCCCAACATGAAAACTGAAAAGTAAAATTGGGGCAATAGGAGATGGCTAGGATTAGACAACGATGCCTAAGCCTCACTGGCAGGCCACCCCGTGCACGAGGAGCACTGGCTGGGAAGCACACCTGGGTCTCCAGCATGGAGGAGAGAATGCTACCAGGGACCCACTAATGCCCCCACTCTCTGTAGGAAGGCCAATCACATTAAATGGAACATCATCCTCACTCAGGTCTCAGGTCAGTGTTAGGAATAAAAAGAAAGAAAAAGAGACACTTCGTGAACTATGCATGACTACAAGCTCCAGCTTCCATATTAGCAGGCAGAGACCCCTACAGTATATAAGGAGCTTCAAAACCTGGACAGAATTTAAAATGAACTCAAAAGATAATGGAATTTTTCCATGAACTTTTAGAAGTCCCCTCTTACAGAAACACAAAACCAAATTAATTTGCATTTTTAGCACAAACTTCCGAATTTTGTGTGGAGTGGTTTGTAATTCCTTAGAGTGAAATCAGTTTGCCAATTATAGCCTTTAGCAAAGCTTTGATTTTTTTTTAATGAAAAATATCCTTCTTTAAAAACCAATTAAACACAATTAAAGCTTATGATTTTTGACATTTGGTGTTTTATTAATCCGACAGAGACATCTGACATTTTCATCTGTTGGAACGGAATGTGAAGGTCAAGTATCGGATCTATTTAGTTCAAAATAATTTTGTTTGCATCAAGAAATCATGCTTCCAATTGATTGAACAATAATTTTTCTTTAACTAGGCAAATGAAATGAAGTAAAAAATGAACCCACAGGCTTCATTAAACTTCTCCCAAATACTGCCTAACTAATACAATCAAAGAATAATCATCTTTTTCCTTTTTGTATGAAAAAATTAATACTCAAAGAGCTCAGTGAATATGAGGGGCACCCCCCAAAAAAAACAGAATTGTTTTTCATAGCTATGTATTTAAATTTTTTTTACAAGACAATCTTGTCACCTTCAAAGTACTCTCCATTATACTTAATACGTTTGTCAAATCTGCGATCCCATTCTTGGAAACATTTTTCAAACTCATCTGTTTGGATGGCTGACAAAACCGCTCTTGTTTTTTTCTTCACTTCTTCTACATCACCAAATCACTATCCTTTCATGTCCCTCTGCATTTGTGGAAACAAAAGGGAGTTGAATGGAGCCAGGTCAAGTGAGTCAGGTGGATGGCTCAAGAAAGGCATGCCTTTTTTGCCAAAAACTGGCGCACTGAGAGGGCTGCGTGAGCAGGTGCATTGTTGTAACGACAAAACCAGTCCCCTGTCTGCCAGAAACCAGGCCTTTTTTGTTGCGCACTGTTACACGATCTTGAGAGCCTCTAAATAGAAAGCTTGATTAACAGTCTGACCTGGTGGAACGAACTCCAAATGCACTACGTTGAGTCTACATTTTCATCCATTCGGGAAACTGACAGGCATCCAGAATGAAGTTTGTCATCAATTGACATTTCATCTTTTTTGAAATGAGAAAAGCACACATACACTTGAGTTTTTCCCATAGTGCATTCCTTGTAAACTGTGGTCAACATCACAACAGTTTCTGCGGCATTGTTCCCTGAGCAGGAAACAAGATTTCTCAGATGTTATATATATTACTCTGAACTATTTTGTGTACAGAATTGTAAATACTCTAAAGAGTGCCTAGTCATCCAGTATGGTATTGCTATCCGCTGTCAAAGGAGCTCTGATGACACCACAAGGTTGGTGTGTGAGACCCATCAGCCGCTCCACAGGAAAGAGATGTGGCAGTCTGCTTCTGAAGAAGGTATAGGAAAAAATAAATCAATAATTGTTTTTGAAGTTTCAGAATTATAAACCCTATGGGAAAGTTCTACTCCGCCTCCAGGGGCACTGTGAGTTGGAACTTAACTCCACAGCGATGAACGTAGTTTGGTTAGTTGTCCCTGAGTCAGCTCCAACTCGTAACAATTACAGGTTGACAACACAAAATGTTGCCCGATCCCTCACTGTCATCCAGTATATTTACCATGAATTTCAGTAGCTTTCATAATCTGGGTAGTCTAAGTAAAATATTGTGGGCAAGGCTCAGGGAAAAAAGGGAGGAATCATTTGGACAGATTGTAATAACATATTCCTACGTCCTGATCATATTTCTATCAATTTGCTTTAGTTATTTTCAGAAACGGCTGTGATGAGGAGGATGGACATAAGTAAGACCAGAAATATCGAGTCTCTATAAGGAATAAAAAATAATACTAATATAAATAAAGTTTGAAAGTTATTGCTTTATCAACTTAGTTTTGATGTTATCCTATATTCATATTATTTTTCTCAATAAATTTTAGTCAAAATAACACTTTAAAAAGAAGTCATCCCTGGCCCTCAAAAGTCCCACATAAATGTTGTAGGTGTCAAAAATGGAACCCAAGCTCCCAGTGTCAAGATCAGAGTAAGATGGGAGGTCTCCACTTCTCTGAGTCCAGACAGTATTTAGCTAAGTGTTTGCTGCATCTTTGTAAATTGGTGAAGTTATAAGGAATAACCATTTCTGTCAAGAGGGTCAATTTTGAGATTTACATGCTTTTGTATAAA